TGCTCGGGGGGTGATAGACATATGGGGAAGGTATTGAAAGTTAAACACAAAATAAAGGGTGCTACAGTGAAATGTGGATGAATGACTTTTGAAATTGAACTTCAGATTTCCGTGCCTCGGATATTTCAAATCGAGATTATATCACGTGATTTCAATGGTTTCTACACACACCCCCCGATACCCCAGTACTCCAACTCGAGCCTGAATCTGATACCCAGCGAGTCAAGTTTGAATTTCCGGGGTAGAATATCATTCTCACACCCCTCCACATTGACGGAATCTCCTGCACAAACCTTTCCATTCATTTAAAAGACCGATGTTTCGGTCTTAGATAGAGAAAGATATCAATAAAGCCCCAAGATCATAATGATCCTGAGGCTTTTCCGATGCTTCTCATTATATTCTAAATTCGAAGTAGTGATTACTAAGTTTGATATCGAATATCAGAAGGAGAGCATTTTTTAGTTCTTAGCTCCGGGAAAAGTCCCTAGTGCCCCCTTACTCCGCTAGTCGAAATCTTTTCGGTTAGCATGTGTGCGGAGCGTGAAAAAAAGCTTACTTGAATAACGCGGGAGCCAAGGATCACTTTCTTCATTTCCACCAAAGGATTTCAGGCAAAATTATTAATACATTATGTTATCCTATTGGACACCGTTTTGTGATTTGATACCAGATCTCTTGTTATCTCATCTTCCTTTTTCCCGTCTCCGATTTCTTCATCGGCGCATCAACATTGAGACGTTCTTGTACAACCACATCATACCTACCAAATCATGAATATAGATATAGATAGATTGATAACCCGATTGAATTCGTGGGGCTTATTCAAACAACTGTACAGCCGCAACTTATGGGCCGCCTTTGTTGGGCCGTCTCTGCTCAATCCCCTTAATTTTCTGTCTGTCCTGCCGTTGTCATTATTTATGTTCACCCCTTCTGAAGCATTATTGATATGTGATCGAATGCTTTTCATATCAATATAAAACGACCTCAGACCGAGTGGCTACCATACTGTCGGTACTTCTTGTGAGGCCAGACTTCATTCCAAACCTTGGAACAGCTCATCTACTAGGATATCTATACTACCATCTAACTCTGTAGGTGAAAAATACCAGGTGAAAAATACCAGGTGAATCCTGTGATACCCGTCTTTGTGTCATTGATTCATATCTAGATTCAAAACTGTTGGTGGCTGAATGACCATTCAGGGATGCCACGAAATTTTCATGCGTAAGATAAAGTGGTTAGCTGCACATGTCCAAATCTGGTAGCCTTCCCTCAAGGGTATCATTGGATTCACCATTTCAAGGGAGGGGTCTCTGGCACCAATACGGCTTCAATTCAACAGCCTTTAGAAAAACTTAATTTGGCACCTGTACGGATTTCTAACCTACCCTGGACTTTTTCCCGAGCAAAAATACCCTTGATACATGCATCGACGTAAAGTAACATAGCACAGAGAAGGAAATTCGAAATTCGACTGCATAACTCCATAGTTACACCTATCTAATCGACATACAATCACTCGCCGCAGCTTCCCATGCTGAGCCACAGGTCGAATTTAAATACACACGAGTGTCCAGGACCCTTTCTTCCGTTACTTTTGTTTTTACAAAGTTCTTTTTTTCAACTTTCTTTTTCTTCAATTTTCCGTTAGTACATAATACTTTTTGTTTATCATGGATTCCGACGGACATGCAAGAACTGGCAGCACCAGTGATGAGGAAAAGGTGGTTGCTTCTGCGGCAACTCACTCTAACCTCCCGGCGGACCCTGATGCGCACCTGTCAGATGCAGAGCGCAAGGCCATCGACCGAAAACTTGTCTGGAAATTGGACCTGTATTTGATTCCCTGGGTACATTTGCAACAATAGTTTCCCTTCTCAGTTCAAACACTAATTCTGAAATAGCTTTGTATCCTTTATCTACTTGCTTTCTTGGACAGAACAAACATTGGAAATGCGAAGATCGATGGCCTCCAAAAAGACTTGCATAAGATGTCAACTGGACGATACAATGCATCTCTTTCGATATTCTTCGTTTCGTATTCGATCTTTGAACCGTTGACCAATGTTCTTTTAAAACGCCTTCGCCCATCTATTTTCATCCCGATCATCATGTATGCCAACCTTCCCCGACGATGTTTCATTGTCTAATATACTCTAGGACTATCTGGGGCGTTGCTATGTTATCAATGGGATATGTTAAGAATTGGTCTGGTATGTAAAAGTCTCATACTTCTTGGGGTCTTTGTCCTGTGAGGCTAACCTGGTGGGTTTTAAAGGTCTTATGGCAGCTAGATGGTTCTTAGGTATGGCTGAAGCTGGTCTATACCCTGGTGTAAACTACTTCCTCTCATGCTGGTACAAGCGTGATGAATTTGGTGTTCGGGCAGTACGTTCTAATGCAATACTTAATTGCTTTTCCTTGGCTAACGGTTCAGGCTATCTTCTTCTCTGCCGCCGCGTTTTCCGGATCTTTTGGAGGACTACTTGCTGCGGCTATTACCAACTTAGATGGACTAGGAGGACGACCAGGCTGGGCATGGATCTTCATTATTGAGGGTGTCATTACAGTTGGATTCGGTCTTTTATCATTTTTCTTTGTTCATGACTTCCCCGATACCGCCACCTTTCTTTCAGAGCAAGATCGTGCTCGGGTTATTCGCAGACTCAAGATGGACAAGCAATCAAGTGCTGAACATGAAGAGTTCAAAATGGAGTACTTTTGGGCTGCCGTGAAAGATTACAAGATGTGGTTGGGAATGTAAGTTTTGAAAATTCTATCACCCCAAATTGTATAGTTTACTGACAAAACGCAGGATAACATATATGGGCGCGGATATGCCTCTGTATGCCTTCTCTCTCTTCCTACCAACCATTGTAAGTTCAATTTTTCTCCTAAGACCTTCATTGTTGCAGCTGCCGCCTCGTTTTGAGGTATTTTCTTTATTTTGAAGACTCAGAACGCAAGCTTCTATAAATATCCGTGCAGGGCTTTAATATTGTCCGAGCTTCTCCAGAACTTTCAGATTTCAAGCACAGTAGTTTGCTGTACGGGGGTTGCTTTGCTCTGTAGAAAGAAGGACAAGTAGACTAAAAATGGCCTCCACCTCCTCTTCCCGGAACCCAACCTCCACTTTTTGACTTCATCTCATATTCTCTACTCTCTGTTCTCTTCTCAGACACCACCAACTTTCAATTCCCTCGTTTGTTTTCAAACTTTGTATCCGATGGATTATACTGACTTTCCAATCTAGGTTGCCGAGATGGGATATAAAACTACTCGCGCACAATTACTTTCAGTTCCCCCTTACGCCTGCGCTGCAGTCCTTACAATCGTTGTTGGTCTCGCTGCCGACCGTACCAAGCGCCGTGGAGTCTTCAACATTTTTACCTCACTCATAGGTGTTATTGGATTTGGCCTGCAACTTGGGTCACAAAACCCCCACATTAAGTATGCAGGTACATTCTTAGGTGCCCTTGGTATTTACCCATGTATTGCAAATACCATTTCATGGGTTAGCAACAATACTGAAGGTGTTTATAAGCGTGGTATCGTTCTCGGATTCGTCATCGGTTGGGGAAATCTCAATGGTATTGTTAGCAGTAACATTTACTTCAAAGGACCAAAATTCACAGTAGGCCATGCGACTGTCATGGCTTACATGATTGTCTGCCTATTTGGTGGTAGTGTTGCAATGCATCTACTGTTACGCAGAGAGAACGCAGCTAGATTGGCCGGGAAGAGAGACCACTTGGTTGCAGGAATGACGGAGAAGGAAGCCGAGAAGCTGGGTGACAATCGTCCTGACTTCTTGTACACCCTTTAAAGAAATTGATACCTGGATGGATGCTGATACTATGGGGAGGATATTAAAAGGTCAATTTCTTATTAGCTTCTGTGTAATTTTCTACTGTGTCCTTTCATTCTGCTGGGAGCATAGCCTTTAGATTTAACTTTATTTCGCACCGTTAATACTATACACGGTTACGCAAGTCAACGTTAAGTGTCATATGCAAACTGCGAGTCAAGAAGCTTCCACTCTCTTTTACTGGAGTATTTGACCCGCTAACTTGGCCATCAATCAAATACCATTGTCTCTCACATCCACTCAGCTGTCAAAGTACAAATAATCAAGGGACATTCTGATTAGCCTAATCGTGTAAAACCATGTCCGACAGGACCAACATGCAAGCAAGCTTTTTCCAGCCGAGTACTGTGTGGATCCATTGCACCACGTCTGACCTGTAACACTACAGCCATGTTAGGTGCATTAGCTCGATTCCTGCTTGTCCAAACTAACCTCAACGCTAGTAACTTTCGCTCAGCACTTACCATAAGAGGTAGCAATACCACCCGCAAGTTCGAGGCGTCGATCCTTGTTGTGCTACCCCAGATATTGCATCCCCACGAAAGATTCATTTCGGTATTATGTTTAAGAGAGTGCTTACCCAGGCAAGGAGATTATCCATTTTTAATATATTTTAAGCAAACAAGCATTGAGAAACATTTGGGGGTGGTGTACGATTATTAGTGGGGATATTCGAGGGAGCCTAGTTGTTCTCGAACACATCACAGGCGAGGCGAATCTGTACTGATGCGTGTTTTCATTCCCGTTGCTTTTCACATGAAGTGATTTAATCGCTCAGTATATACGTAACGAATAATGTGATTCTTCCAGAAATTCTGAGAGATTAGATTGAGATTAGGAGAGGGTAGGGTTTTGTGTTGCCCCGTGGTCCATATGACATGGTTGAAGTAACCTTACTCCAGCCTCATTCGCTGACCACGCAGGATTACTTACTGATTCCTCTTACCACTACATATGTCGCAACTATTGTACATTCCATTCAGGCTTTAACATTCGCCCGGAAGCAATTTTTGTGGCGTTCTATTACCATCAGGGACGGGATAATAGAGAAGGAAAGCAGCAAGTCAAGGTAGGAGTACAGGTGCGAAGAGGTGTGTTCGTTAAGTCACTGATCATATTACCTTTCATCCATTCTATTCGTCTCTCTCAATCATTCCTTCAATAGGTCAGCATCTCCGCTGCACCAACCATGCATTATCAAACGCCATGAACTATATCCACGTCTCTTTTCGTTTCCTGTATGTATTCCAATCCTCTAGGTATCTTTTTTGAACAGCTCCAATATGGATCGCTTCCTCTTTCGTCCGCTCACATCCCATTACCTGACGCGATCTTGTACTTTCGTACTCTACTTATGATTGTCTTGCTGACATACATAGATAGATGAGGAAATCTCCATATTTTTCTTCTCCAAGCTTTCTTTTTTCCTTCCCGTCCACAAGATCTCTAGTTTCCCCACATCCGCTAGCTGGTTCTCATCATGGGCCAACTATCTCAAAGGGAGGTTGATATCTTAATCATCATCGAGCGTACCACGGCATCGATATCGGTATTGGGAACACTTGCTCTGTTTGCCACATTCATCTTTTTCAAATCGTTCCGGACATTGTCGAATACAATCATCTTTTACGCATCTTTTGCAAATCTGTTCGCCAACGTTGCTGCACTTATTGGAGGTTCCGCGCTATCACAAGTTAACTCGCCACTATGTCAATTTCAAGGTTTCTTGTTGGAGATGTATGAAATTTCTCCTTGCTCTTTTGGTTTCACCGTCACTGACGAAGAAAAAGGTTTATGCAAAGCGATCCGTGGTGGAGTTTGGCAATGGCTACCAATGTCTACCTTGTCTTCTTCTACCGATTTGATGCCGCTCAATTGAAGAAATTATATCCTTATTATGCATTGATATGCTATGGTCTCCCCTTCATTCCAGCGATGGTCTGTCTATTTGTCAAAAACAATGAAAAAGGAAAGATTTATGGAAATGCAACAGTATGAAAATTTTCGTTCTTCAAATGTTCTATATCTCTTCAAACAATCACGTTCCTGAAATTTCCTATATCTCTTCAAACAATCAACTTACGAAATACAGCTTTGGTGTTGGATTGACGGTCCATGGGCACCTCTCCGTATCTACAGCTACTACGCACCAATTTGGATTACCATCCTCGGCGCACTATGTATCTACGTCCGCGTTGGGATTGAGATTTTCCGCGCCCGCAATCAACTCAAGGGAGTATCCCACCGAACCGATCCATCACTACACACCGACGCCGGGGGCAAATCACCACTTCCTCTCCAAGGCAGCATAACCAACGCATCGGAAGCCACAAACAAGGACTACGAAAGTGAACACGAACAACCAATTTTCACCGGAACCCGCACCACCGAAATCGAAGTGACACACGGGTCGTGGGAAAATGGAACAGCTCTCAGCACAAACACCACTCCGCGATATCCTCGCGCTTCAGATGTGAATCATCTCAGAACTCCTGCCAAAGATCCAGAAAGCAATTACCGAGTTACTATCTCCGCCGTACCGAATACAACTACATCGAGTGGGCGAGGCGGAGCTAGAAGAAATGCAAGTAGTTTGGATAAGATCAAATGGGCCTACACGAAAGTCGCGATGCTATTCTGTATTTCCATTTTGATAACTTGGGTTCCCGCTTCGGTGAACCGAGTATATGGGTTGAGATTTCCGGACAAACCATCATTTGTGTTGAACATCGGTTCTGCTATTGTTCTTCCTTTGCAAGGATTTGTACGTTCCCCCTATTTCGCCGAAATTCAAGATGTGAATAACTAACATGAAATAGTGGAACACCGTCATCTACTTCACCACTTCTCTGGGAATCTGTCGCAGCGTCTGGGCCGATCTACGCGGTCCCTCCAAACAACATAGGAAAACCGAAGGATTCCGTATGATGGATCGCCCTATGACTGGTAACCATCGAGGAGGAACGAAGGAGACGGAAAGTATGGTGGAATTAAGCACCAGTCGATCACAAACGAATCGAAGTCTAAGGAGCGCAGAAGTTGATAGTATCTGAGCCAAAATGAAGGAGGAGTTAATAAGATCTGGTTGTATGACAATGCGATGTACATTTATGTGTAAATATTTAATCGGTGGGATGGAGCGATGCTGGGATTGATGAGGAAATTTTTGAAAAGGAGTTGGATATAGTATCATTGTATTCGGATTGCACAGGAAACTAGGAGTTCTTCACGAACGGGATATGAAGGGATCAACGGGATGTGTATGAAAAGTTGGCCACGGAAAGGAAAAGCTTTATCTGTCTATCTGAAATTTATATTGTACATCTTATCTTGTACAGCGTCACAATCAACATCAAAAAAATCAACCAAACCCACATTACAGATCTAGAAAATTCCTAAACACCTCGAAGAACGTACGAATAAGCATTCACTGTCTCACATTCCTTAAAACAAGCACTCCCACAATTTTTGGCGCCCAGTCGTCAACATAGCCATTGTACGCTCCACAATCGCCGCGGTAATTCGAATTCGCACCACATGGATCTATCTATCTACCCACGTAATTAATTCTCATTACCAACATCCTCATCCACGACAACGAAATGTCGGTAATCCATCATCCATGTACCATTCTTTATTTCCAAACCCGTTTCTAAAACGCACGGCGCATCCGCGAACATAGCCTCGAGGCGTGAGTCAACGTTGAGACACCAACAGTTTGTTTCCCCTTTCGTTTTCAATGTCTCTGATAGAAATAATGTGTACATGTATGTATGTAGATGAAATGCATACTCCCTAACCCACACAGCGTACCTTGCACGAAATTCTTGCGTTCCTGAAAATAGGGCATGTGTGAATTGTTTTGACAGTTTACTGAATGAGTTGTACTCCTAGCTAGTGCGCCACTTGGAATTTGGCAATACAGGATGTTTCGCGGATTCGTATGTTGTTGATTTATTCTTTTCCAGGGAATTTCTAGTTCGTTCCTGATTCTTTTGATAAGTCATTTGTCTATACTTTTGAATCTAGATCTAGATCTAGGTCTAGATTTCGATATACTATCAGAATTTCCCTGCTCCAGTTAGTCCAGACCAATTTATTTCCCAGCCCTCATCGATTTATAATTTTCATCTCGTTGCTAAATTATCTCATACCAAGCATCAGATCATATATTACCTCGACCAGACTCGAATACCAAACTCCCCAGGATCCACGCTAACGGATTCATGGGCTCTACGTAGGAGAAAAAACAGGCCGGAATTTACCATTGCGCAATGGTACGTGCACCCTCACCAAAACAATGTGTAGAGAGCAGTGGTCAATTCCGGCCTGTTTTTTCTCCTACACAGAGATGGGGTCTAAATCCCGCAGCCCTCTCATCATGGCTCCGAGTGTTCGCTTACGGACTTGACCCCAAAATAAGTTGACTTTGCGGGTCCGGGTCTTGTACGAAGGACATATCCACTTTCAGGGTGGATTGTTAGCGAGTTAGGCTTTTTCCCAGGTATGATGATGATAATAATAATAATAATAATAATAAATTTCTAAACCATTCTTATGATTTCAAGGGTACAAATGGTCTTAGCTGGGGGATGGGGAAATCTTTTAGAGCGTGAATCTCAAAATCAAAGGATAAAATGCGCGTATCTCAAAATGGTAATGCTACGGCCGTTATTGTACTCGTACGGTTTTGATTGACAACTGGTTTCTTCATGTGCATCTGATAAGTAACGGTATTCAGGAGTTCAGCTCCGTACTACGACAGATCCACTGTATACTTCCAGAAGACTTCTACCTAGAAATTTGATCAGATACCATTGCAGTGTTACAATACACCTAGCGAGTATTGAAAACCTCAGCCATTTTGATACTCGTGAATGAAGACCAAGGAAAATTCAGCTTAGCATCTGGTATTGACTCGAGATTATGTAGTAGTTTGCGTCTAGCGTACAGTTGTCAGCTTACCTGTCCGACACTTTGCATAGAACTGGGGTGAACTATTTGACGAAAGATGATATGTTTATTTAGGGTGGATGATCCGCCTTCCGTCGGGTACCTAGTGAGGATTTTGGGTGTAGATGCAGTGTTAAGTAGTCTCTAAGTACCGGTACTAGTTACGCTGTGAACTTCAAGAGCTGCTGAAAGGTTAGGCAGTAGAGTCTCAATGATGCGATGGTACTGTACTTTGCGCAATAGTTACGCAGTAATGCTACTGCAACTTTTTACAGAATATTAGGTATTAGAATGATGCATGGTATATTCGAATATAAAGAAATATACCCAGGCTAATCTTTGGTCCATACATTATTGTTGTAGAATAAGTCAAACGATGAATACCTCCACATGTTGTACCGAGTAGTCGAGTACTAAAGACCCTCTATTTCTTTATCTAGCCATACCATAGTACACACTGACTTCCAAGGCCCGGTCCGCAACTTACTTTAGGGTTTAAAGAGTAGATGGTATACCGTGCCGTCTCTCGACAATTAGCGTCTTCAGTGGAGTCCACAACGCGGGGAAGAATCCACTTACAGATCCGACACATTCTCTCCACTTAAACGATCAGGAAATTCGCCGATCAAAGTAACAACATTGAAAACGATGCGATTTTAATAAATTTCTTTTCTTTTCATCATTTCAACCTCTGAGCAAGGTACTTAGTTACCTACACCTGTGTATACAAACAAACAAACAACTTGTAGTCAAAACAACCATAATCCTCTTAACCTTCCGTGCCGTACTCATACATCACAATATTTCTCCTTCTTCCTCCAGAATCCCCGAATCGACAGTATAAATGCAACCCAACAATCAATCCCACACCCCCAATTCCAAACCGTCATGATATTTTCCGATCAGAACTATGGATTCTTCCTATTACCACCCTAACTCCACAAGAAATCCGTATTCTTGCATCCAGGCTTTCCAATGCGTTTGCGGATGCATAGGTATGCCTACGCATCTCCCTTGATTGGCTAACAAGCCCTCTCAAAACACATGGGATTGATATTACATATATGTGATCCTATTATTTCACCTCCAGTCTACCCTACCTTCCTAAACATCTAGACGAGCAAGAGAGCAGCTTCGACTAATCCTTCCACGAACCACACCATTTGATCAGTGTCATGAATCGAGAATATACTCCGTGCATATATGACTGGGGTGAATAAATAAGAAGTGTGGGAGATACAAATATATTATGATTTCTCGATAGGAGAAAAAGAAGGGGAAGGAGATATACCTAGTATCTACGCCGTAGGAAAGTAGTAAGCGTATGAGCGTGCGTAATCCTTATGCAAATCTGTGAAATGAGTGGCTCGAGTGGGAGAAGAACATGGATATCTATCTACCTAGGTAGGTAGTATTATTCCGAATCGATGAATAATACTATTGAATATTTTCACTGGATGGGTAAGGTTAAACTGCCTATTGAAGAAGCGAGCGAGCGATGCACGAAGTGACATGTGCGTGTTTGCGAATGAATGGTTTGATAGATGAACCAGAGGGGTGGATGGATAAATTGATAAGGTTATGTGATGGGTAGATGGAATGATTGTCTATGACTTGATAAGACGATTGTCTCACGGATCTGAGTCTTTGAATGCATGGCAAGAAGTACTCTTCATCGTTATTATAATATACTAGACATATTCCTGCTGTAGCTCTTGTTCTATTACAATCAAATTGAACTTATCGCGTTACATCTCATCTCATCCCACATCCTCAAAATGCTTCTCACAACTCACAACTTAAGGTTATCTCACCTCACACATTTCTAACAAAACAAAAGCACTTCCCCACACACACTTAACCATATACGCGTAACACATATCATATCATACCATCCACTATGCATTTACATATGCCCCTCCCTCTTCACACAAATCCGATTTCTAATCAAAGATCTACAATAGAAACTTTACTTTCCCATCTATCCATCTATCATCCACATGCAACTCCGCCCATCCCATCCCATCCCATTCCATCCCATCCCATTCCATCTTCATTCCTTTTCTATAACCTTTTCTCTCTCTACCTCTCTCTCTCTCTCTCCTCCCTCCAAGCCTCTATTGATCTCTAGCCGACTACCTAGTAAACTCCATCCATCCCATTTCTATTCTCATCCCCTACTAATCATAACCAAACCACCAAAACCACCAAAACCACCAAAACCACTCATCTATCCATCAATCTTCTCTCCTATCTATCCTTCTCCTCCTCCTTGAAGCATTTCCTTATCTCATCTCTCCTTATACCCCGCACTCACAGTCACTTCCTCAACCCCCTCATCATCCATCACTCCCTTAAACCCCCCATCCATCCCTCCCTCCCTCCCTCCATCCCTCCTCCCTCCAACACAAACCCACAACATACAATATACAATATACAACATCCCCTCTAGACTCTAAACTTCACAAACCATTTTCCAATTTCTCGACCTCCACTCCCAAGACATCTTTCTCAGTCCCTCTTCCCTCCCTCATTCATTCATTCATTCATCCATTCATCCATTCATTCATCCCTCCTCCCTCCTCCCTCCTCTCATTTATCACTACCAATCAAACCCAAAACCAAAATCAAACCCAAAACCAAACCCAAACCCCACAATTAATCTTTAAACATCTACGAGTATAAACCAGATATTATAACAAGTTCAATAATTCAAGTAAACTTATCTTATTTCATCTTATTATTTCATTTCATTTCATTTCGATGAGTTTGAGATGTGTATTGAGACATCTGACTTGAGATATTGAGATGATTTGATTGATATATTCAAATGACTTAATAAGATAGGACTCATATAATTCCAATCATTCAAATAATTCCAACTATTCAAACAATTCCAACCATTTACATCTCATACCTCCCTCCACCACTCAAAAAAAACACCTCTATACTATAAAAATAAAATTTTCCAAATTCATCTAATCAGATAACGCATATATATATATATATGTATATAGGTATAAAGTTCCCAAACCCCTTTTAATTCCCTTCCCTTCCCTTATCAATCCCATCCCATCCCTTATCAATCCCTCATAATCCTACTCATATCCATATTCATATCCATATCCATATCCATATCCATATCCATATCCATATCCATATCCCAAATCTAGCGAAAGTACAAAGAAACAGCTTCCCCTCAAATTCGCGAATCATATACAACGCCGCCAGTAAAAAAGAACGCCTTCAAATGCAGTCCAAACCCCATCGACTATCATCGTCTACTCGTGAAAAAAAAGCTTCATAACCCATCTCATTTATTTTTGTACCGTTCTTCCTCTCTACACGATATGTAATATCGATATGCGTATGTACCCCCTATCTCCAACCGTCTACCATGTATGTATCACTCCTCTCTATTACCCCCTTTCCTCTACTGTGACCCCCTCTACCAAGTATCTGGTCCAAAATGCGTACCTTCTGGTACCGTTTTATATGGACAAGCTTGCCAATCACACCCCTTTTTATAAATTTCCGTTCCCCACCACTTAAAGTTATCCATCCATCCCGGATAGATGAATCCGAAAAAGACCACTACTAATCCAAACGCAAGTCCGGAATCCAAAGCCGCACTTAATGTCATTGTATATTTGGCCCACCAAGCCGAATGTCTCCTCTTGATGACATAATTGAAAAGATAGCATACTAGTGCCCAAACTGAAAAGTTGAGTCCCGTAGCTGGAGGAATCCATGATAGAGAACCAAATAAGACGGGAAGATTAATCTTCCTCACTATACTATTCTTTTTGTTGCGACAGTAGAGCCAAAGAATGATAGGCGCAATAGCACCAATGGGAAAACACCAAACGAGGGCCCGGTAAGTAGCGTTAGGACCGAAGAATTGAGCAGGTCCTACGACTCCCCAAAGAATGCTTCCATTAAAGTGTACACGGGCGAGGGGACAGACAAAACCGTTAATAGCCTGAGGAGTACAGATACCTGGAACATTGGCGAACATCCAATTGAGAACGCCAATTTGCGTCATGGAAGAAACAATTGTGGCTGCCATTTGAACTGAAAATAAAATACGGGGCGGGATTTTCATGTAATGCCCAAGTTTCAGATCGGATGAGAACTTTATTCCTTGAGAAGAGGAGATGTAGCCATAGGTGACGAATACCATATTTGCAACGGGACGGCCAGGGAAGACTGCACCACAAACCAATTGGCAAATGAGATAAATACTGCTATGCTGATTCGTAATGGCCATGACAATGCCTATCGGAATAAAAAGAATGGTGCAGATCCCCAATGCGAGGAGTAAGCCGTACCACGGTAGATGAACGGGATAACTATCACACGGGTTAACATAATATACCTGACACGGAAATATGCGAGTACTTACTATTCCACGACGAAAACCCCAACTGCAAGCATAGAGACGAATGTAATCAGATACCAAGTCATTGGCGCATCTTTATACCTTCTCATAAGCCTATTGTGCACATCTTCCTGACTAATAATATCATTCATATATGATGGAGTTCTTTCAAGATTCAGCCTGTGGCTGTTTGCCGAGGCTCCTCTCCTATGCCCGTTTCCATTTGATGCAGGTACAGGATCATAAGCAGGTTTCGTTTCCCCTTCAACCTCCTTTAAGGATCTTTTCCATTGTTTCCAAATATCTCGACCATGCCAACATGTTGTGTGTGTTAATAGCGAGGCAAGAGCAGCAAACTGAAGTCCGTAGCTGAGAACATAAGTTATGGGTAAGAACACACGACTGTAGTTCTCGTATGCTTCCTTATTAAAGAGGAAATCCGATGTCAAGATTTTGCTTACATCGTATATCTTTCCAGTATTGTCGAAAACGGAAGAGGATAAAATCGGCATGTAAGAGGAGAAGAAGATATTTTTATAGTAGGCGATTGGCGCAAGAATCCACATCACAATGACGAGACCTCCAACAACATTCATCGCGGCCCAAAATGGAGTTAGTAGTGGTGATCCAATATATGCAATCTGAGCCCAATCGAAGGTTACGGGGAAAAGGCCAAGTCCCGAAGCCACACCAAACAGATTCGCAACGATGACATTCTTTGGTGCAAACCAAGTTATAACACTGAAGTAACTCAATGCTGGCATCAACAAACCAGGTAAGAAGTAAAACATAAAGGAACCAAACCAAACGACGAAAAAGAACTTCCATCGAGTGATTTTCCAACCATTAGCTATTGTGTTCTCCTCTTTATGTAATGTTGTGAACATGGCTGCAGACATTAAAGTTCCGGGCCACAACATACCACCAGGTCGAACCAAGAAGCGTCTAGTGAGACCTGCAAAAGCATATCCCAATATCTGTGTGGAAAGAATGAGGAGCAGCTGATACATGATACTGACTTTCTGGTTGTAAAAGTGTGTTTGTTCAACAATGACATCTGTTGCGAATGCAAAGCCGAAAGAAACGTTACTGCTGATGTAGACACAGCTGTGTTCCTTTTCATTCCATTTCCCTTGTGCCAACCATAATCTTAATCGCCTCAAGCCGGTAGCGGGCTTACCACTGGATCCATTACATTCAAGGGTTGCAGTTCGATGCCCATCCACAAATTCTTCTTCGGGGTCGTCTCGTCTTTTGAGGAGCCCATCCCACATTAATCCAAGCGGGTGCACAAGTAGAAGGGCGATAACTGGTGTAATAGAAACGCTAGGGTATCGTAAGGAAAAGAAAAGGTTTGTTGAAGAACCGAGTATAGCAAAAAGCATAGAAAGTGCCCACATCCGAGGCGTGTTGATTGATAGAGTTGTATTATCGATGGCAGATACAGAAGCGCGAACTTGGGCATAGGGAGAATTGTCTGGCGGATCTTCATCATCGATTGAATATTCCTCGTCTTCTTCGTCTTCATCTAGCAGCGCTTCCTCTGTGTCTTCCTCTGTTGAAATAGAATCCGAATCTGCATTAAGAATTTTTATTGGGGAAGCCGCAAGCCCTGTTTCTTCTGACCCATCATTTTGTGTGTTGCTTCCTGTACGATTTCTCGTTCGCGAAGTCGAACCAGCATTCGCAGATGAGGAGGGGCGCGAATTAGATTTGGTTGATTTGAATGTTGCGGCGCTGCTAGAATTCCTCAAATTTCTAAGGGCCGATGAACTCTTTTTCCTCTTCTCCCTTCTTGTGTGAATTTCTTCTTCCTCCTCGCTGTTCTCTGACGATGCGCCCACCGGAGCTGCTCCATATGATCCTGTGCCGAATCCGGGCGCGGAACGTAGTAAGAGGGGTGTCTTGGACATGAGTCTATGTAGTTTTTGAAAGATGTTTAGCAGGTTTGTATTCTCATCTGCTAGGTTGTGCCGTGGGGCATCGTCTTCTGTCTCTGCGGAATCTCGTGTATGTCGTCTAAGAAGGTTAGAGTTAGATTCAGGATAGAGTTCTTCCTCCTCGTCGTCGTCAACCTTGTTGTGCCTCGTGGAGTGATAGTGATAGTGATCCAAATTCTGGTTGTTCGAATGAAGCAGTTCAGCTGGAAGTAGTTGCCTACCAGTAAGATTTGACTGGGAGGGCTGAAGAAAATCAAGGGGGACACCCGAGCCTTCTATATTACAGTCAGAGGAGTCACCCGATCCTCTACTTCTGCCGCCTGTTGCGGAAACGTGAGGTAGGCGGAATGTCATATGCAGCTAGGAGGCATTGTTGCACGTTGTCAGGCCCCACTGAGACATATGAAGGGGGGAGCCCTCTTTCGCGAAGAAATTGAAGCTAGGAAGGAAGCTTAGTTGGCGGGAATTGGCTGATGAGTGGGATACTGGTAAGAGGACTGGGTACTAGATGACGGGTAATTTTGATAGGGGAGTTATTCCTTGCGGAAGAGGCGGTAATGGTGATTCGTGCAAGCGTGATGTGTGTTCCCCTCGATTCTTTGAGTAAATTAATCGATCGATAGAGATAGGAAAATGGTAGACCTTTTCTTCTTCAATATGATGGAAATATGAGTAGAGCCTCGTAGACGATGATAATGATACCGAGAGCCTCTTCCACCTTTCTAAACTCTAACACCTAGGTCTTTTCCTCTTTTTTTTTTATCTGATGTTAATTTCGCAATTTGATTGATTGATATGCAGCAAAAGTTACAAGCAAAAAATTGAATCCCTGGAAAAGCTTGGAAATCATCTGCAGCAATGCATCAAATATCACATTATGCCGACTAAAAGTTTACAAGGGATCCGTCCTTTTTCCACTTTGTATGTGTAGATCCGTCTTATCTGATCTTTGAGATTATGAGATTGTGAGATTATGAGATTGTGCAAGTTTCGGGTGCAACGTGTGAGAAAGTGGAATGATATTTCTAATAAAGGAATACCTACGTATTGAATAATGAACATTCAAGATTCAAGATTCAAGATTCAAGATTCAAGATTCATAGCTGATGTCTCATTGTTGGTGGGTACGAGCAAGCAAAGAGCTTCGGAAGAGAGTCAAGAGAGGTATAAAGGACTCGTAAGTATGGTAGTGTAGCATCGGGATTCCTTACTGATTGTAGTCAAGGCATAGTTTGACATATCCGCGGTAATATAAGAAGAAGAAATCTAACTTGTCTAACATGTCTAACTTGTCTGCTTCGTCTGCCTCGTCTACCTACTATGGATGATACCTACCGAGTGGGCATGCTAGGTATGTATGTTGACTAGGTATTGATGTCGGAGGTATTGACTCTTGTCATGAGTTTTTCAAATGGTGTGGGTGTGTGTTGCTTTCTCATTACACCGGTAATTTCAGACGGTATCTGAGGAAGTGATAGAATGATGGAATGATGAAGCGATGAAGCGATGAAGTGAGCTTGCTAGTAATTAATGATACCTCCTTACAGTATTGAATACTTTGATATACAATATCAACATCTATCTTATGACCTGCCTTGATCAGCTGACATCGATGAAGAATTATGAAATATTATCGACTTCTTTCCCCTCAGCCAGCACAGGCACCGTGTTCAATTGATGAATGGATGGATGGTGGACGGTGGATGATGGATGCATTGATTGCTATTTGGTAGCCAAATTAATTCCTCTGGCGGGGTAAAATTCGGTTGATCTGATCTGACCACCACAAGAAAAGAGTGATTTTCTCATTTCTGTCTTTTCTCATTTCGGTCTTTTCTCATTTCGGTCTTTTCTCATTTCTGTCTTTTCTCTTTCCTTCTCTCTTGACTCTTCACTCTTCACCCTCCACTCCCTCCACTCCACTCTGCTTACTTACCAGCGACCAGACACCACCACACTCACTCCAAATATACGCCACAACACATTCACCCAATGCATTCTATCACGTGACCAGAAAACTTAGAGCCTCGATTGATGAATCCCTTTAGCTGTCATTGTGTCCCCCAAAGCCTTGTTTTGCATCTTGACTGTAATTTCCCAAGTCTAACGGCCTCCCTCACATTATCGACACCAATCAAATTAGAGAAACCACAACATGCTCTTTGCTCTTCACGTCAAACTTGGATTCACATCTTCAAAAGTTCTCTTGTGGTTACACTTAAGTTTGACACTCACAGGCTTCTTCCTTGTTGAAAAGCTTGTTTGGCTTTGGATCAATGATAAAAAAAAAGATTGGCTGCTTCTCGACCTTATCATCATTTTGGCACTGACGAAACACTGCCTCACCAAGTGTTTGTTGGCCTGATTACCGACCGACCTACCTACCCTACCTCTACCTCTACCTACCTTCCTTCTCTGCCTTTCCACCATAATTCAATAAAAGTTATCGCAATCACCCACCAACAATAATCCTACCTTATATGGTCAATCATTCAATCCTTCAATAATGGCTCACTTTTCGGGTGTAGGTGCCTTTTTCATCATAGTTCTGATCGTCGCTGTCATCGGAGGGGTTGCTTGGATTGTTTACACACATTTGCGCGCACGACGATTAGGCTTACCACAACCATCCTTATCATCTTACAACCCATTCAAAGGCGGATCTGATCGATATGGCGGATCGGGGTCGGGACAAGGTGGAGTGGTCGGATGGGTGAAGGATAAAGTTAATGGATTAAAGAATCGCAACAATCGATCAGCCGGAGGAGCGTATGAGGAACCTTTGAGCAGCAACGTGCGCGGTCGTGCAGCAAATCGCGGTTTTGGTCCACTGGATCCTGATGATGCTTGGGATGCCCGAGTCGGAACAGAAGCTGATGCATATGGACCTGGAGGATATTTCGAGGAACAAGAGCTCGGTTTACATGGTGGTCATTCGGGAGCTGCGGGAACGTCGGGTACGGGACCTGGATTCTCAAGTCCTCCACGTGGCAGAAGCTTAAGTCGCGAAGCGGAGCCATATGTTGGAGGATCAAAAGCTGGGCTCGATAGACGTTATGATGAGGAGATGGGAATACAATCAGCGAACAATCCTTTCGACGATCCATCCGAATTGAGGGGTGTTAGTCCAAGACCAATAGACACAAAAAATAAGGCGCATGATGATAATCATTCGGAGAGAAGGTCAATGTTTAGAGAGAACATGTAAGATGGTAACGCATGGAGGTTATGATTTCTGAATGGCGATACGGTACAATGGGTGAATGGTTTTTGCGATATTCCAGGGCAGGCTGTACTTATACGGAGCGAAGAAACTTTACGAATGCACTTCCTATTTTAAAATTTGCCCACAATTTCTTCTGCACTATTGAGCAATGAAGATCTGAGACCAGAGCACCGGAAAACATTCTTGGGTGCTTCGACTTTACTGAAGCTGTGTATAATCCTGGCATCTTTAGATTAGGTATTGTTAGGTCCGTTCTAGATGAATGAAAGGCCTCATGGACTAATATACATATACCTGTTTTGAACCTTCGTTGGCAGACACATTTTCTGCCCCCTATTCCAAACGGGCTCCAGTGCTATATCATCACATCTAAGTTGGTAGAAGCCACTAATATCTTCAGCCAAACCTGTCACTTGTCTTTCTCTTGTTTTCTTTGTATCGCACGGGTTAGCGTCAAAGGGAATATATGGAATCTTCCCTGACTTGATCCCACCAGTTCCTGCTCCAAGAGCTTCCCACGTGCTGATAAGATAGCTTCTGAACAACCCCTCTAACCCCACTTTGGAGCTCACTTGTCCAACTCTAAACCCCTTACATTACATCCAAGTAGGGTCTCCTTTTGAATATTATTTACTTTAACATACTCTTTTTAACTCCTAACCAAACACCAATTTTACATTCTTTTAGCAGATCTCCAAGATGGCCGCAGTCAACCTCCAAGAAATCCACGATCTCTTGATCGACATTGCTCATGAAGCAGGTCGTATGATTATGTCGGCAACCCCTTCATACTTGAGCTCTGGGACCAAGATGAACAGTAAGTGAATAACAATCATACACTTTTGTCACTTATCAATTGCTTCTACATCGTCGTCCCTAACTTCTCCCTTTACAGCCGCCGACCTGGTAACCGAAACCGACAAAGCAGTCGAAGCAATGGTCTCCACCCGCCTTACCGCCGCTTACCCAACCTATTCCTTCATTGGCGAGGAGACATTCGTCAAAGGAGAAACTAAACTCACTTCCGCCCCAACCTTTATCTGCGATCCCATTGATGGCACGACAAACTTCGTCCATGCATACCCCGCATTCTGTATCTCTCTTGGCTTCGTTATCGACAAAGTTCCCAGTGTAGGAGTTGTATATAATCCCTTCACTGGTGACCTCTTCACGGGAATCAAGGGTCACGGCTCATTCGTAACTCGTAAAGATGGGGAAAAATTCAGCCTGCCGCTCAAAAAAGAGCCAGAACCGTTAAAAGATTTGAGTACCTGTCTCGTAACCGCAGAATGGGGCTCAGATCGCTCGGGGCATAATTTCGATCTCAAATGCGATGTCTTCAGAAAATTATCTGCAGCCAAAGAAGATGGAGGCGCGATGGTACATTCACTAAGGGGGTTAGGGAGCGCCGCTTTAAATTTGGTACATGTGGCTAGTGGACAACAAGATGTTTTTTGGGAGGGAGGTTGTTGGGCTTGGGATGTTGCAGCTGGGTGGTGTATTTTGGTTGAAGCGGGAGGCATTATGGTTGGTGGTAATCCTGGAGAGTGGAATTGTGAGGTTGATGGGAGGAAATATATGGCGATCAGAGGGGCGCCTAGTGGGCAGAAGGATATTGTGGAGGAGATGTGGAGGGTAATTGGGGATAGAAAAATGAATTATGAGAGTTAGAGGGGGGAATTGAGAAATGACATGATACCTGGACGCATACCTAGATGAGAAATTACATCCAAAATCTTATGATTAGACGAAATTAAAGGTATTCTTTTTCAACATCTTTTAATATGAGATGCCTCATACATAACGTTTCACTGCTAGTGCAGGTTGACACGTAACATCTGTTCATTGTCTTGCATATCTTCCATTCCACCAATTTCTATCATTTTACTTTGAATAGGTGGGTGGTAGTATATACTCTCTAATAAGATATCCACTACATCAATCCCCTTACCCCTTTGCCTAATCTCTAAACAGACAAATCCCCAAGTCTTGATAGTTTCATCTTGGAGATAACATAATAACTCATATAACTCACTGGGACCGAGGGGATTTGAGAAGATTTGAGAAGATTTGAGAAGATTTGGGAAGATTCGAGTAGATTTTCTTCATGTGTTATTAGTGTGCCTTGTTGTTTCTCATCAACCCCTTTTCATTATGAAAAAGAAGGATTTTTCAAGTCATTACTGTAAGGTAGATAGATGTTTGTTTATATATATGTTATTTGTTATCTGTAATTCTGGTAGGTAGGTTATAATTCCAAGCTATGCTATGCTATGGTAGAGAGAGAGAGAAAGAAAGGAAGGGATATTCTTTTCTTTTCTGTGATGGATTGAAATGAATGAAAATGATCTGAAATGAACGGAAATGAAAATAACTGAAATGATCTGAAATGATCTGAAATGAAATAAATGAAAATAACTGAAATGAAAAAATGATTGTAGAATTCGCGGGAAATAGAAATAGAAATAGAAATAGAAAATGAAAATGAAAAATTGGATAAGGTTGAGAAATTTTTCCTCCATCTCTTCTGGTATAGGGAGGTAGGTAGGTAGGGAGAGGTGCATACGCGAAGATGTTTCTTTTCTTTTTTTCCTGTCTCTCCTGTATCTCTCCTGTCTCCTCTATCTCTCTCCCCTGTCTCGCCTGTCTCTCTATGAGGTCTTGTCAAGACGACAGGTATGCGTGATGTGGGGAGTGGAATTTTTACCAGGAGGAATATCCGTTGGTGCCTTTGTTCCAGTTGTTGTTCCAGTTGTTGTTCCAGTTGTTGTTGTCATTCTTTCCACCGTCGTATTTTTCCCCATCGTGCTTGTCGTTGTCGTGTTTGTCATTGTCGTACTTGTCGTTGTCGTTGTCGTGCTTGTCGTTGTCGTGCTTGTCGTCGTCATGCTTGTCATCGTCATACTTTTCTCCATCATGCTTGTCATCGTCATGCTTGTCATCGTCATGCTTGTCATCGTCATGCTTGTCATCGTCATGCTTGTCATCGTCATGCTTGTCATCGTCATGCTTGTCGCCTTTGCCATATTTGTCATGATCGTCATGCTTGTCATCTCTGCCTCCTCTTCTATGAATAGAGTCTTCTCCATATCCTCCACCATATCCATGATTGTCATTCTTGTTATCTCCGTATGAGTTGGAAACTCCACCATAACCATGAGAATTGCCGTAATCGTCATTCTTGCCGCCATTGTTATAGTCTCCGCCATAACCTTTGTTGTCTCCACCATAACCCTTATTCCATCCATAATTGTCGTGCTTGTCATCTCTGTATGAGTGAGATACTCCGCCGTAACCTTTGTTGCCTCCATTGTTGCCATGATTGCCGTTATTGCCACGGTCATTGTCATGGCCATGATTTCCATCGTTGCCGTAATTACCGCTGTTGCCATGATCGCCATAGTTATCGTGATTGCCGTAATTATCGTTCTTGCCATGATCGCCATAGTTATCGTGATTGCCGTAATTATCGTTCTTGCCACCCTTGTTTCCGCCATTTTGCGAGACGGAGTAGTCATCCCCAGGTACTAGATTTGTTAGTAAGATGTAAATTCGGAGGAGGGGATGGATGGATGGAACAAACCGGGAATGGCAGAGGCACTGAGGCCGAGGGAGAGGATGATGATATTAATGAGCTGCATCTCGGCGATGATGTTTGTAAATGCGTTGAAGGCAGAGAAGTGTTTGTATGATGGTGCTGGAGTCAAGTGAATTGTTTGTTCAAGCTTGAAGATTGCAGTGTGATGATTGAAGCTGTCGATTGAAGCTGTTGAGAAGAAAAAGATGAAGATTAGCTCGATATAAGTACTGATCTATCTATCAATAGACAAAGCCTCTCCAGCCAGCTTACGGACGGACGACTGATTTAGAACTCAGCTGCTACTTCTCCCAGAGAAACATGTCCGATCCACATGATCTTCTTCGAACTCTGCCTTTGACTTCCTCAGCTAACAAACGTAAGTTGTTGGTCAAACTTCAGCCGGGCTTGAGGACTTTCAAGGCGAATCTCCTTTGCGTCGCCGGGCATGGATTTGCCAAGTCATGTTATTGAGTTTGATTTTGATTTTGATGTAAATTGTTATTGAAGTTTCCCGTCGGCAACGATCATCTCCAAAGCTGTCCTGTCCGTCCGTCTTTAGACAATACATATTACATGAGTTACATGCTTCACACTCCGCGATACAATCTCCGTGTCTCTCCACACATGATACTATGAGACTCATTCGTTCGTACGGAGCTCCTACACTTTTACGTAACGTAACGACCCTCGCGAATCTTCATCTTCATCTCCTGCAGGAAGAATAAAAATAAATTATAAATTGCAATTTCTTCATTACTAGTTCGTACTACGTACATACATACATGCGATGTCTCTCGGACATACACTCACTCACACACTCACTCATGCATTAACATCGATATTGACATTGATATCGACATCGCCAGCCTCGAAATAGATAAACTCTAGCTCGTGCGATCCGAAAGAGGCGTGCTTCTAAGCCGTTGACGCCTTACTTCGCGGTATTACGTGATGGGTGGTGAGATGTAGATGGTTAGATGGCGTGTATTTTGAATGGATAGTCAGTTATCCCGTGCCGCTACCGCTGTCTTTGTCGTTGCCGCGGTTTGTGTGTGTATGTATGTATATGTCTCATATGTTTAATGTAATTGTGGAGGCTTTGTTAAGTTGATGTGTAATGCGATGGGATGGGATGGATGAAATGCATTTGTCATGGTTTGCTAAGATTGGATGTGTGGAGTGGAGGAGATTGGTTGTTGGAATGGCTTGTGTGTTGTGTAACTGATTTATTGATAGATGGATGTGGATATGGATTTGATTGATCGGCTTATGTATATAAGCATGAGGATGTGGATGCAGGGGAATGAAATTGAACTTGAGATCGATCCGCGTCTTGGCGCTTGGGTTTCTGTTTTCTGGGGAAATTTATGGCTGGTTTGAATGGTAGATTGATAGATGGGTAGATTGATAGATTAGCATGGGTGGTAAGAAATATATCGTGAGTGAGTGAGTTAGTGAAAAACGAGAAGGTTTTCGTCATCGCCTCGTGTTTCGGATGTATGGAAGATACAGGACGGTCATTTTCATTTTTATCTGCATTACGCAATTGTTGTTAAAAAGAAATACTTATATATGTATATGTAATTTCCGAGCCAAGAATTCGGCATGCTAAAATACGAAATTATGAATACATACGGTACTGTGTGATTCGCAGAGGTAAGAGGAGGATCAGGCGGGGAATAGGTTACCTATGGTATGGTATGGTATGGTATGCCATGGATGTACCTGGATCCTTGTTTATTTACTCGGTAGTTGTGTGACGAACCGGGGTCGTAAGAAGCGGTACATGGTAGCCGAATTCTGGGGTAGGGAGATATACGGGTAGGGGATTAGGGAGGGAAGTTGGATGGGTGGGTTTGCGGGTTGGATTTTTGGCGGGAAATGTTGGATTTGTGGGTTAGTGCTGGGATGTTATTTGAAGGGAGGCAGGTGTCTTTGGGTGTTTGTTTGGGGAAGGGAAGAGAAGAGAAGATGATTTCGGTGGTGAGGTTGTTGATTATGGGGTATGTTGTGTGTTACTTGAAGATTGGATTTGGAGCTTGTAGACCTCGGGAGCTTGAAATGGAGCTTGGATGGTGATGAGTTTTGAGTGCCTTGCTAATTACACGATTTCAGATTCCAGTGGAAATAGTCTTCACTTGGGCTTCGAATCAAATGGCTATGATGGAATAGAAATCACATTTCTATCTTTCAATTTTTTTTTTTTTAACTTCAAAGTTAGATATTGTGAGGTGTTTAGTATACCAAATCTTGTTAACTAGATTGGGGAGATATGTAGACTTTAACTACTATAATACGAGATTCTTCTTTCTGGAAATCTTGAAGCATCTGAAGAGGAGAGGATCTTGATGAAAAGGAAAACGCATTATGATCATTCGTGTCAAACTGCCCAGGTTGTGATAGATAGGTACAAACTACTAAAAATCGATCTTAGCGGAGGTAGATGAGCAAACAGTTTATGATTGTAGTCTATACATCTACGAAATGTCAAGAGAAAGATATAGAAGGAGAGCAGGAGGAGTTATTGAGAGCCTTTGAATGTGCCTGTTGAGATGTTAATTGCTTATGACGGACGAAGTAGATGGGTGATTTTAATAGAGGCTATGTATGTATGTATTCATATACTTTTCTTCGGGTAATTTTAGCACGAAGAGATTATATATATGTTATTTTCACATTTCTACTTTCTCGAATAATGGATGGGGTTAAGTGTCACGGAGAAACTGGATAGGATATCTGATTGAGAGTGAGATTACTTTCTGAAATTGGATGACAGTCTGATAGCAATCATTTGAGTGTAAATCGAACTACATAATCTGTGATGATAAACACAAGTACCAAGGTTGGCTTTTGATTTGAGCGCAAACCATACTTTTTAATATGTGGGATTGTGTACAATTGTATCTTCTCGATGTTGTAATAGTACTGTAGTATGTCCATAAGGTGAAAGATGCTAGTGCGTCATACAATGGTGTATACTGAGATGAGATCTTTACTGCTTATTATTCTATTCATGGAGTAAAGGAATTTGATGGGATTGATAGGCTCGGAAATGGATCGAGAAGGAAACGGTTACTAAGCGATCAGAAGAAATATGTATGATCGGTAATAGCTGCCCAGGTGATAGCTGATGAGGGTAGTGAATGCTAGTTAGTTAGCCAACTAGCTGTACTAATATCTTTTATGATTTATCTTGGAATTGAAGGATACTATGGTGTATGCTAAGTTGGGTATTGCAACTCCAAGGGCAACGATGAACAGGGCATGTCTAGGTATCCAAGTATTCACAGAAGCCACCACAACATCGACATCTGACGCTTTAGCAGCTGGGTCTGAGTTTTCGGATAGCTAGATATGAAGCTAACACTCGGGAGACGAAATAGAATAACCTTGCTGATGTAAGAATGAGATGCGATTCAAAGACCAAAATATCCACCACAGCCAGAGAAACCATCTTTTCTATCCAATTACTAAAAATTTCCAACTACAAAAAAATCTATTTATCGGTACTGCTATCTCATACCAAGACAAAAATAGCTGTGCAGTTTCTTGCTTCACTTGAGTATTGGTGTGTCTTTTATTTCAAGACAGTGTGTGTGTAACCCACCAAGTAAGCAGAGGAGAAGATGGGGGAGAAACATTTTGAAACTGCATTGGCTGGGTGGGTATGCTAGAAGAGTGAGATATTAATAACAGGTTGTGAGAGAAAATGGTGTTCTATGAGTGAAAATAGAATTAGGTTTGTTTCGCAGTGTAATTGATGATTTGTGTGGGATTTATTTCAAAGTGGTATGAGGAGAGTCTGTATTTTTATTTTTGAAAAAAAAAGGGGGGGGGAGAGTTGATTGACTGTGTAGAGAAATTAATACTTTCTGGTTGGATTTAGATGATATGTGTAAGAATAATGAATGATATACCATGATTCCCGATTATTGAAGGAGAAGGCCTTCTACTTCAATAATACCATCTACTTTACAGTTTCAGGGTAAGACACACCAGGTAGAGAATCAAGAATTTATCCCGCAGTCCTGGGATGGGATAGGAATTTCCCGAGGAATTTCCCGATTTTTGTTGCAGATCTCCATGTCTCTCCTTATTGGTATAGCATTATGTAAATGTGTGACACAAATTCGGTAGTTGCACAGGATGAGAGTGCTGGAATATAGATGGAAGCTTGGCGAGGGGGGAAGGCGGGTTGTAGGGTCAATTTGTTTGACTGGTTGTTCGTTTTTAAGATGTGATGATGTTTCACAAGAATTGAACGTGGTATGCTTCGAGGTGCTTGAATTATAGGTAAGATCTTCTACTGATGTGAGTCTCGGTAAATTTTGGATCTTGTATCGTTGGTCCCTGAGAAAAATTTGGTGTTTCGAGAAGGAGTTATTGGGAGATTGGGAGATGATAGAAATTTTCTTGATTATGACCCATTATATTCCTTGACTCTTGCTTTTGTTGCGAGATGGGATATCATTCTCTACCAGAGGGATATTCGTGATGTACGATTTACCCATACCTTTCATACAGTACGCCTTAGTCGGCAGGATTTGAAGGGTTCTCAGGTGAATGCCCAGGTAAAGATAATGTGGAATGTTATGCGAGAACTGAATTGTTACAAAGAATTGTTAATCTTTGTAGTTGAACTCAAGTAGAAACCAAGTCCTCTATTTTTGACGTAATCTTGATGGGTTTCAATTATTCGTATGCTATGTACTTCCGTCAGAAAAATTTAGACTTCGATACAATCTATTCAACTCTTTTCCTGTGATTCCTCTTCAACACGCTATTAAATTGTATGTGACTTCGATATCCTTCTCGAACTATACAGTTTTTATAGAGGCCTTTCCTTTGACCTGGAGGCGATTGCGCTGATTTGAGATACATATAAAGATCTCTTCATCCCGTAATTCAATTGAATACCATTGCCTCTGCATGGAAACCATCAATTATGAAAGCACATAGAACTTAGTGACGATGTTTCCACGGATCTTCTTTCAACGGAACCTTCTTCCAAGTGAATTCCGGAATGAATCTGTCTTGATTCCAATCACGAGTGTGTTTCAGACACATGACCAGCTCTGGCGCGTTCCAACTTGTGTAGCTCCCTCTTTGAATACGACGAATAGTGTTTTTGGCGTTTCCTTGTAGAGTACATGACGCTATCCACAAATCTTGATCATACAAACTTGTACGTCCGTTTATTCTCGAGAGAACTATTTCCTTCTTTCTAACGTCACTTTCCTTCTCTAAAACCAAGATGAGCGTTTCCAACCCTCGAAATGCAGGTAACCCTTGAAATGCAGGTAGATGACAAGACAACTCTGTCATTAATTCCCACCCCCACTGGATGGATATAGCCAGTGTTTTGATTCTTTCTAATTGGTCTTGCTTCATTGCTTGTTTAAGCGCCAATATCATGTTTGGTATCTCAGCTTCACGGCCGGATAAGTAACGCTCAATACTACTTTCTGTTCTTGGCGTGTTGAGAAAAAGAACTTCATGTGTAAAATTGATAACAGCATCCCTACTCCATGCTTCAATCCTCAAGCTACGATTATTTTCCAACATCAGAGTTTCGTATCCCATGACAGATAGGAGTTCCTTTCTACTTTCTCGATTCACATGAAAGACAGCATGCGCAGGGTGCTTCGTGGGAAAGATTGAATCTTCAGACATATTCAGCTCTATGACACGCCCATGTTCAGGAGCACATAGACGCCAAATCTTTTGCCGCAACTCGGGCGACAGTTTTGGGAATGAAGTGAAAGTTTTAGGACACAGTGGAAATGATGATGAAGGATGAACGGTAAGAGATGTGAATGGATAGGACCTTGATGACGGAGTCTGAGCACCTTCGTTTGGTTCGGTGTCGAACTGGTCATTGAGAATCAATGGACAGTTAGAGAAATCGTCGGTGTAACCTCTTTGCTTTCGGTGCGAGTGTACTGGGATTCTATTAGCCGCTTTCGTCAACATCTCACTTATAACATACCCATTCTTACAAACATTTCAAGCTCTTCCGCCAACATATCAGAATCGGCATTATCGATTTGAAGACATCTGTAGATATCCTTAAATGCGGAGTGTACGCTCTCTTGATACAGCAGATACTGGGGATTCTTAATACAATCCATTCTTGTTAAGATATAAAAACGCCGTTCCAAGATTGAAGGATACGAAAGGGATCTGCTATAATAATTATAATTCCCATCTCTTTTTGAATTTTGGAGAAGTCGCAATCTAAACTCACTAGTAGTATTCCAATCCTTCCCTATTCGGAACTTGCAAGTCTTCCAGTCTTCCATGTCTTACCTGGCATTCCTATTCAAGATCTGAACGGTCTTTAAACATCAGAGGCCTTGCAGATTCGATTAATGAACATGGCTTCAATCCCGAGCTTGATGAACTTAGAAACACGACATAACATAATAAAAGGGAGGAGAACACGAAAAGTCAGAGGCCAAATATGATGAGCACTGAGTAAAATTTCCAAATCTCAAGTCGAGTATAGAAATTTGAACTATCAACATGTAGCAAATAATTGGTAAAAATTCATCTTGAATAATTACTCAGGATTGTCAAGCTTTTGACTGGGCAATGCTAAGTCAAATCCAAGTATGGATGCGGGGTAGTTTGTGATAGCAATTGGATCATACAATAACATATTTCGTAAGATAACAAATCGATCATCGCAGTGCAGTGTCAATCATTCTGAAGAAGTAGACCATTTTTGCTTTGAAGATATAAAAAAGTACTGACGACGACGACGACGACGACGTTAGTACCGAGTCAGTATGAGAGCGGGTTAAGAGATTGTCTGATCCCGTGTCCAAAATGACATCATGGCTTTAAACTGGGCATGCTCCCAAGCTCGAGGCATGTTCGTATTCATGTATTCTCATCGCACCTCAACTTACAACGAACTAAATTCTTCTTCTTCTCTTTACAATCTCAATTGTGTGCAGATACTTAAAGCCTCAATTCCATCATAAATAGAAAAACAAAACACAATCGCAATGGGTTTATTCGCCGCAATACTCGGTCTCATTGGCACTGGTCAAATTGCCTTTACAGGATACAATCTCTACCTATCCTCAATTGCAATCCCAAAGCTCCTCTCCTACGAGGACAAAGCTGTAAAAGCTGCAAAATATTCAAATATCGCCGAGGAGCAATTATTCAAGACACGTACCACACAAGCTGCTAGCGTTGGAGCTGTAAGTCTTCATCTCTCCTCCTCTGACACCCATGTACCCCTCATTTGACAACAACTAACGTTTCCTGTTAGCTCCTCCTAAGCTTTCTAACCGCCACTCCCTTTCTTCTCTCTCGCTACAGCAGTAGTACGATCTTTGCCCTCTCGGCAGTCAATCTCGCAGTTTTACTTGTAACAAGGGAATACGTAGGAGATTTCTGGAAGGGCAAAGCAAAAATGCCAATTCCAGGTACCGGAGATTTCAACGATGCAATTGGGTTGACGAATGAAATTAGAGCGAACCAAGTGTTTTTGGCAATAAGTTGGGTGGCTTATGGAGTTTTGGGTTTGTTGGCATAAACCGGACAATGGGGAAACTGGATGGGATAGGAAGGGGTAGGGTAGGATAGGGTCAAAAGGAGTTTGGATGCTTGCATATATACGGATGGTGGGTGGCATATTCTGGGAGGTTCGATCATCATTTCTTTTGGATGCAATTGGATCCTGGAAATGGAAGTATAAATTTTTACTGATATAGGTTTCTCCGAGAATTTCAAGATTTCAGCGCACCAAGTCTTTACAGTGATGTGAAAGTGTCTGATACTTTTCTGTTGCTCTAAGTGATTGGTTTCCCTTCATTTGCGTGACATTTTTTGGCAAAAATCAAGTGAACGAGCAAGGTCTCGTCCTGATGAGATTATCAATATTTCGTTGATTCCGCGGCCAAATCTGGTGGATGTAGTCTTTGGAGGTCTAGACCTATTCCGCAAGAGTATATCCGTGGATGAGATTCTAGTAGAAAGCATTGACTATGTCCTACACACTTTTATATCTCTATGTTGAACTCACGTCTTTGATGTGGAGAGCCGGGAAGTTGAGTAATACAAGCTACTTAGTCCTATAAATACTTCCCTTCGATGACCTTTGCTTTGTCAATTTGATCATGCACGAAAGCGCTAGTCCCTGAAAAAAGTTTCTATAGGCAACGGAAGATGAGTTGTTTTTACACTGCGCTAGAGAAAGAAATATTTGGTGTGTTGCAGGGTAGAAAGATAGCGCTCAAGGTCTCTAATATGTTGCAACAATCTCACCTGACCCGGACTTTACTATTAAGAAGAGTCAGGAATATACGTATTCACTTGCTATTAGTTTGAAGCTGCACCATCTACTCCATCAAAATATGCTACGACTACTTGCTTTCCTTACAATACCTCCACATCAGGTACACAAATCTCCTACAAGATCCAACTCCGCCCCCACCTCTTTACAGCCCTCCTATCTACTCAAAAAAAGATCCTGTAAGCTTCACAATACTCTCATTTCCAGTCGACCAGCTCAACTCCTTTACTTTCTCCAACCCCCCCAACTCCGCTTCATATTTGCCCTTGATAGCACTCCAACTATCGGGACCCACCGGTAATCTCAATCCCATTTCTCCCTTTCTCTCCAATTTCGTGGCTTCGAGGAGGATCTGTGCAACTCTGTCCGGGTCCGCCATGTAATCTTCCAAACTAGGATTCTCTAAACATGCCTCCAGCTGACGTGTACCGAAAGAAGGATCCATGTAAGCTGGATGTGTGGGAGTCTTGACAAGGGACGAGGTGCAATAGTTAGTTTTGACTCCACCCGGTTCGACAATCAGGAAACGTATGTTCCAGGATTTGGGGATTTCGTGGTAAAGAGACTCGGTGAGACCTTCGAGCGCAAATTTACTGGTGCTGGTTAGATATCGAAGACGCATAGATCTTGTGTGGGACAAAAATCATACCTAGCATGATAATAAGCCTGACCTGCACAAGCCAACACACCACCCATCGAACTGAGCTGCATGACTAATCCACCTTTCTCTCCATTGACCTCTCTGAAAATCCTGACAGCTTCATTCGTTAAACGGACTGCGCCCCAGAAATTTGTTTCTAGTATTTTGCGAGCGATGTCATCAGGAATAGATTCTGTATCGCCCAAAACGCCATAGCCGGCATTGTTAACGAGGATATCAATGTGTTTGAAAGTGGACAGACCGCTAGCTAGAGCTTCGGTAATGGAGGATTGCGAAGTTACATCGAGAGCGAGAGCGAGAACACGTGGTGATTTAGGGAGATAGGAGAGGGATGAAGGGTTGCGGGCTGTGGCTATGATGGAATGGGTTGTTGCGTTGAAGATTTCTTGGGCGAGAGATTTTCCAATGCCGGATGAACAGCCGGTGACTTTGGGGTTTGTTAGTTGGGGGATGTAGAAGGATGGAGAGAGAGGAAAACTTACTGAACCATACTGTATCAGCGGGTAGGTTGGGGTCGATCTTGATGTTGGAAGACATTGTTCTTCAAACTTTGAAGAGCTAGGTTACTTTGGCTCGTCTAATGCGACACTAGTAAAGGGGATGAAATACGAATATGATGAGAATGATATTGAAATTTAAATTGAAGCTTTGTTGACTGTGAAACAAGATGTTCTTTCTTCAATGAGTATCGAGCATCTTATATACTTTTTTCTAAATACCTCATACCTCCCCATCAATCAACTGAATTATCTTCCAAAACTCTCCACACTTGCATCGCAGAGTCCGCCGCACATGCGTGCGCTTTGTGAGAACAGCCAATCAATTATAGGTGGATAACATTTATGCAATGTCGGCACTGCTTTGCCGGTAAGGCCCGTGGTATCTCCGCCTACTCTATAATGTCCGAGATCACAGAAACGTTGGTATTCCTGTTGGAGGGCTGATGGATGATCTTTGGGGATGCTACATCATCATTCAAAGTTTGCTAGGGGATATCGAATGCAGCTTCCTCCTATGGAAATCAAGGAGGTTTATTTTAAAAGTTTGATAATAATAAGAGGGTTGATTGGCTGTGAGAGAATAGGTATTCTATGCAACTTGCTGACTGCAATATATATCTTTACCTTGCGATTTTAGACATCGGCTTTTGTTGGTACCACCATGGGGGTGGTGAAGACAATATAGTACTATGATTCATACTGTTGTAATATTGTTTGAGGTTTTAAAAGCTAGGGCTACGAAACGTATATGCTAGAACGCCGAGGCACTAGCGCTTGCGCTAGTGCGGTCACATGATCCATATCCCGACAGTTTTTAGTTTCTACTCATCCACGTCTAGGAAATCATATTGAATATCTAGTAAAACCTCTCCATAAGGATCTCTTTTATCTCAATGACCCATCAAGCTATTTTCATACAGAAAAAACACTTTGGGTGATAGATAGTGGATCAAGCTTTCCAGCACGTGGAGGAAGGCACAAGGAGATAGCATACAAGCACTTCATGTGTTGTGTCTATTGAACAGTTCGTAAGATATGTCCACATGTGAAACATGCAAGGGTCAAAGTTTCGTATCTCATTCGACCTACCTTCTTTGTTCTAAGGTGGATTGCTATGCGAACGCCCATCACGCCATACGGAGCGTACCTCTTCGAGAAGTGGGACGTGACGTGATTGAGTATCGCGGGTGCCGATGTTTTCCCTTCTCGAAAATAGATGGTAGAAGAGTTACTATTCTGTGCTGGGGCTTCTGATCCCTCTTCATTACAATGATTTGATTGCACCCTTGCTATGAATACGTGCTTGCATCCGAAAGCGCGAATTAATCATGGAACTTCCTCTATAGGAATACGACAACACTCATAGACCTGAAATCCAATCCCCACCGTATTGGGGCTTAAAGACCGCTCAGTTATACCAAGCTGCTATGGCTATCATGACATAGATTGAAAGTAGCAATACACCTTGTAAGCTATACCTGATTAGCAAGTTCTAAACCAAAGTCCAAATGTACTCACTAATTACTCTTTCCTCCTGCAATAAGGAAATTAAATAGCAATACAGCCATGAACAGAGATGCCACCTGGAACCCATCGAACAATAAACCCATATCATCTATCCCCCAAATCCACGCAATAATCACCACCAAAGGCGTGATTAGTAGTGAAGTCTGAAGAGACTTGCCGGCCGATGCCATGATACTCAAGTCCAATTTATCCATCCGTGCACATGTAATGGGCATAACATCATTGTTGAGAAAAGGAAGAAGTATTAGACCAACGAAACTGGGTGAGGCATGGTGGGCTGTCAGACCATCAATACTGTCGACGGCGAAAGTAGTGTTAAAGGCGAGCACAACTGTTCCGATGATGAGGGTAATTATACCGACCGCCATAGAGAGATGAGGCTCTATATTTTCGTCGGTGGAAGAAACAGCTGACGGAGAAAAAGGCTCACTTCTGGTGATCGTGCTCTTTGTGGCGACTTTGCCAATTACTTTTGGTGCCCTGTTGATATACTTCAATCAAAGTCAGCGCATATCAAGCCTGTGACGAATCTGAAATTACCAAGCCAGCTTCTGGATTGAAGACATATGAATGTGTTTTCAGCTGAAAGAATAGATAGACGCCATACACAAACAACAAAACAATCGAAGTCCCTCTTGATTGCGCAGCAATATTCTCCGGGGTCGAATTGGCAAAAACATGAGATGCTGTTGGGATGATCAAGCTAGCCACAGATAATGTTAAGAAATTAGCGACATAACTTGCCGAGCTGACATTGAAAGACTGCTCTAATCGATCAATGCCACCTGCGAAATAACTCGCGCCCATTATCAAAAGAACTCCACCAATAATTCCCCCAACTAGTGAAGTTTTCAAAATCTCAACCTGTCGAGTCTTGAGAAGAAGAATCGAGGTCACGAGTTGTACGATGTTTCCAAAAGTCATGTAGATTAATCCTCCCACGGTATTTCCAAATCGTAACATCACTTCATCCATAGCCATATCGACAATAGAAGCACTTGGAAAGATAGCAATGAAGTTCAGTATGAAATTGACGACCGGTGGTAAGTCGGTATAATTTGCAGCAAATCCTGCGGGCACAAATGGGAGAAGAAGCGACAACCATGATGAGCAGAAAATTGCAACTATTTGTTTGATCAAATTTTCATATGGTGATGTGCGCTTTCTCGCATATTCGTTTGCTTTGCCAATTTCACAGTTTGGTTTGTCTTCGGGGCTGGAAGAGGGGCGTGAAAAACGATACCGGTGATGCTCTCCGAGACTGGAGCTCGCAGCCCCCTCAGTACCTAAGTTACCAGTGGACAATGGACGCATAGGCTTCTCATCCAAGGTTGTTATGGCGAATAAAGACTCAATACCAGGGCGAAGCTTAGGGATTTCTGAATCCGAGAGTGTGTGAGCTGGTTCCAAGCGTGAAGGTATAGCATGCGTGTCACTTTCTGCTCTTCCAGATTCCTCATCCCTCCTTCCATGACGATTCATATCGAAGCCATTGTCGGCCCATCTTCTACCTCTTAGGAAAGGATTCCAGCTAGGAGTTTGATCGCGCTCTG